TGACTCGGGGACTTTATCGCTCGCTCCTCGACCTGTGCTCGGGGACTGCCTCGACCGCTCTCCGACCACGGCTCGGGGACTTCGTCGCTCGCTCCTCGACCTATGCTCGGGGACTGTCTCGACCACTCTCCGACCATGGCTCGGGGACTTTGCGTCTCAACTACATGTGACTGGCAACTCGCATACAGTTGGGATATTTTTTCTCACTTGGACCTTGCTACAAGGCTCATACCTCGCCTTCCAGCAAGCTCGGGGACTACATCGGTACGATGCACCTGCCGGTGCATCTCGTATCGCCTGTACGACGATTGGATTCTCAACTTAACTGGGAATTCTTTTTAGACCCTGGCACCACGTGCCTACGTCACCTACTACCAGGCTCGGGGACTAAGTGGGCACACTTCACCTTACGGTGAATGTGTTTGTTTTTCGACCTCTACGCCTCTGATGATCAAGGACGCTACGCTTTAAGATGCACTTACATTTCTTTTTAGAAATACAAGTGGGCACACTTTCCAGGACGGAAATCTTTTTCTTTCTTCTTAAGAGCACCATACATTCTTCGGACAACCTACTTCTCCGACGACAACGGTGGTCGGGGATGTCAAGAACTCAAGCCTCACTGTTCGGAGAAGGTTAAAATGGCGTGTCGCATCAGAATACATGGCGCTCGGGGACTAGCTGTGGGGGATATACCCCCGGGTACCACAAGATGGAACATGGGCCGCACCATCCGAGGTGGCCTGGCCCGTAAGATCAAGGCATGCACATCAAGATTATAAGTTGTACTAGATATTGTAATAGTACCAAATTGGATACTTTACTTGTAACCTTGTCTCTTCGGAGTATATAAGGAGAGACAAGGGTCCCCTAGAGGATAGGTTAATCTGTATACATCTCAATACAATACACCAAAGACACAGGACGTAGGGTATTACGTCGACCAGACGGCCCGAACCTGTCTAAATCGATGTCTCTACGCCTTGTGTCACCATCTGGTTCCTGATTACACGCACCGTCTACCGATAATCTACCACCACGGGCACCCCCCTCGGTGGACTTCCGACCATATTTCATCGACAGTGACCATACTGGCCATCTGGATGGAGAGGTCAGTGGCTTTGGTGAGGGAGAGACTCTCTATTTCATAGGCGTAGGCGATGGAGAGGTTGGCCCACAGAGCCAGAACTCCTGCAGGCGTGGGCATCTTCAATACCAGATAGGCGTAGTGCGGTATGGCCATGAACTTGGCCAGAGCTGGCCGACCAAGTATGGCGTGGTAGGCGGTGTTGAAGTTGGCGATGTAGAAGTTGATGTGCTCGACACGGAAGTTGCTAACCGTGCTGAATTGTACCAGGAGGGTGATCTCTCCAAGCGGTCGGGATGCCTTACCAGGTACCACCCCCTAGAAGGAGGAGTCGGAGGGAGTGAGGTCTTCTACTCCAAGGCCTAGCTCCTTTAGGGCTTCGGTGAAGAGCAGGTTCAGGGCACTTTCGCCATCGATGAGTACTTTCCTAAAGAGTACTTTCTTGACTGTTGCATCGAGAATGAGGAGGAAATGCCCTGTGTAAGGGATGTCCACCCACTGATCGGCCCTACTAAAGGTGATGGGGACCTTAGACCAGGGGTGATAGCTAGGGTCGGTGATAGCGTCTTCTGTGTTGACGGCGAGCACCCAACGGGCGGTGAGTTTTTGATCTCTTCTGTTCTCGACGGCGGTGAGGCCCCCAAAGATAGTGGCAACCACTTTGTCATGATCCTATAAGGCATTATTGTTGTCCCCAGGTGGTCGGCGACCTCTGGCTCCATCGTCGTCCTTCTTTTTGGCCTGGAACTCCTTGGTCAAGCCAAGGTAGTCCTTCATCTTATGCTTGCTGTTCTTGTGGAAGGGGCACAAGCCTTTGAGGATTTTCTTGTACTGCTCATTGTAGTTACGTTTGGCGTGAGGTTCATCAACGGTGGCGACGATGTTGTCTGGTCAGCGATGGCGATACTGACCAGCTTTAGACCTTTCCGGCCGATCGTGGCCACTGTCCTGATGGTGGCCACGGTCGTCATAGCAGCGGTCACTGTGGCATCATTCATCGTGGCACTCATTATTGCGGTGAGTTGGGCGGTGAGTGCCCGCATCCTCGTTGAATTGAACTTCGGCCTCTTCAGCGTCGGCATATTGATCGGCGGTCGTGATCATCTCGCCAATCCCCTTTGGTGGCTTATAATTGAATTTGGAGCAGAGGTCACGGTGATGGAGTCCTCTGACAAAGGCAGTGATGACTTCTGCTTCCGTGATGTTGGGAATAGAATTCCTCATCTTGAAAAATCGTCTGATGTAACTACGGAGGAGCTTGGACTATTTCTAATAAATGCGATTTAGATCATGCTTGGTGCTCGGCCGAGTACACGTAGCCATGTAATTGTTGGTGTAGACCTTCTTCAACTGTTCCCAAGATTTGATGGAATCTAGGACGAGGCTCGTGAGCCACTTCATTGCGATCGACGTGAGCATGACGGGAAGATAGTTCACCATGACACTGGTATCTCCCTCGGCGGCACGCATAGCGGTGGCATAAGCTTGTAGCCACTGTGTGGGGTTCATCTGCCCCTCATAGGGCTCGACCCCGGTGATTTTGAAACCACGGGGCCACTAGAGTGTTTGGAGTGCTCTCGTGAATGCTCGAGGCCCTTCGGGATCGTCACCGTTGGGATCGGCGGCATTGCGGGCATTAAGTGGCTGGAGGGCTGCATCCGGATTACTGAATTCTTGCTCGTATTCTTGACGCCGGCGTACTTTCTCCTCATACCAAGAGAAACAGCACCCATCGATATGACGTCGTGCATCCCAGAGGTTGTTGATGTGTGCTCGGATATCTTGATCGACTTCTTCATCATGTTGGCGAGGGTTGTTGATATGGTTCCCCTAGCTCCCCCCTAGAGGGGTTGTCTATCATTACGATGTTGGTTGGCGAAACGACTTCTACTGGGGCGGCGATTGGATCTTGGCGCGGTGGATCGGCGATTCGAGCTTGTCGAGTAGGAAGGTCCCTGATCCTGGCGGATCTCGTTGACCTAGCAGTGCGTAGCTTTAAGCATTGCGGTGACCTTGGCAACTTCTAGCGTTTGCTCGAGCCAAGCGAGCTCATTAGCGGCCACAGCCAAGTTGGCGCTTGGGGTCTCGTAGACATCGTGGCCGTCGACATGGACAAATTTGTCGTCGAGGTTGTGGCGGAGTGGGCGCAGCCTCCCTTGCGAGTTGAGTTGTTTTCCATTGCGAGCAACCTCATTCGCTCGGCGCTGCGCATGGTTGGCATTTTTGTTGACGCAAGCTGCGCAGTCCTCATAGGTTTCTCCATCCCGTGGAGGGCTGTCGATGCTGACATTAAAAATCCCACCTCCACGGAAGGGTGGGAAAGGAGGTTGGACGACGGCAGTTTCGGCGACAATCTCCATAGAGCCCTGGGGCTCAAAGTCTGGATTTTCCTCTAGAATAGTGTGGAGGGATTCTTTGGGATGTTGGCCGATTTGCAGCATATTGATAGTCAACGAGAGCTGGACGGCGATCGGGTCGGCGTGAGGATAGATGTCTCCAATCTGGTCGGTGAATTTGTGCCTTAGGGCATCCTGATGGATGGTGACCGTAACCTCTAGAGTTTCCTGATCAGCCTCCGATAAATTAGAACTGGAGGGTGGTCGGCGCCGAACCAGAGTGGTCAGAGCCGATTCCACGAGGGAGAGGCAGTCGGCGAGCTTCTGGCCAACCTGATTGATGGATGCGATCAGATCATCGTTGTCGACCTGCTTCCTCGAGTAGCGGGGCAGGAGGCGACGAGTTGTTGGTGAAGACGACCTCAGAGGCGGTTCCGAGATTGGATCTGCTGTTGCAGGTGTTGGTGTGGTCGGCGCAGAATCGATCTGCACTGGCTTGATGATCTCTCCGTCTCCGTCAGCATTGATGACCCAGAAGATCGATCCGACCGTAAAGATCTGTCCGGGCTTTGGAGAAGACGAAGAGCCTAAATAGTGTACCATCTTGTTCGTCATGGAAACAACACGCACGCCCCTACCTAGCGCGCCAACTATCGATAGAATATCGTCAGCAGTCATTCGAGGGGTATTCCACGAAGGTAGATTGATCGGCAGAAGTGCGCATAATCAAGAATAAGAAGGCAACAGAGACACAAGAGTTAGATAGGTTCGGGCCGTCTGCACGACGTAATACCCCACTCCTGTGGTATGTTGGTTTGTATTGGCTATTATATAATATTGCGTGTGTTTTGAGGGGGTCCCCTACCGGCCTTATATAGTCGGGGTAGAGTTACAAGTCGTTTAGATTTAGGAGATAACCGGTAAGTAATAATAGATTATAGGAATCACGGGATCGAGTATATCCTAACAGATCTCGTAGTATCTTTAGGATATCGCCCTTGATGTCCTGCGGTACGCGCCGAGCAGTACCGTGCACTGTAAGTCTTCGTCTTGTGGGCTGGACCACTCCTGACGGCGCAGTCCATGTAGTCTATTATGGATATCCGGGGTCGTACCCCCGGAGAGAGAGAGAGAGAGAGAGAGAGAGAGAGAGAGAGAGAGAGAGAGAGAGAGAGAGAGAGAGAGACTAGTGTATTTGAACCCGACCAACCCAACCGAGACAAATGAGACCTCCCCCATGCAATGCAAGTTGCAAGCTCGAAGTACATACAGGTAGGGAGTTGGACTAGACATATGCCGCCGGTTTGTCGTCGCTACCGTCATGGTGCAGATACAGACGCGCTTTCCTCGCTAGGGACCCCGGCCTCCATGAACAGCCACTTGGGGGACCTCGCGAGTCAACCCACCTGCCAACTTCTCGAAATGACCATGAAACCCTCGGATCCACATTATAAATGGGCACCTTGATCCGATCCTTGGTGAATCCATCTGTCTCTTCCCAGCACCTCTCAAGCTCGAGTACATCAACCCAGTCGATCACTTAACAAAAACTCCGGCTTCATTCACACTAACCAATCATGGCAGCAGCGGCCTTCCGCACTACCACTGCGCTCTACGCCATCCTGGCGCTGCTCTCCCTGTCGCTGCTCGTCGCCGTGGTCCGTTCCGACACGGCGGCCACGCCGGTGACGCCGTCCACGGCGTGCAACGAGACGACGGACCCTAACTTCTGCCGGACCGTGCTCCCGTCTAACGGCACCAGCAACCTGTACACATACGGGCGGTTCTCCGTGGCCAAGTCCCTCGCCAACGCCAACAAGTTCCTGGGCCTCGTGAACCGGTACCTCGCCCGCGGCGGCCTCTCCCCCGGCGCCGTCGCGGCGCTGCAGGACTGCCAGCTCCTCTCGGGACTCAACATCGACTTCCTGTCGTCCGCGGGCGCCACGCTCAACACGTCGGGCAACAGCACGCTCCTGGACCCGCAGGCCGAGGACGTGCAGACGCTGCTGTCGGCGATCCTGACCAACCAGCAGACGTGCGCCGACGGCCTGCAGGTGGCCGCCTCCGGGTGGTCCGTGCGCAACGGGCTCGCCGTGCCCATGGTCAACAGCACCAAGCTGTACAGCGTCTCGCTGTCGCTCTTCACCAGGGCATGGGTGCGTTCGTCGTCCAAGGCTAATAAGTCCAAGTCCAAGCCGCCCCGCCACGGCGGCGGCCACGGGAGGGGGCTGTTCGACGCCACCGACGACGAGATGGTCCGCAGGATGGCGCTCGAGGGCGTCGCGGCCGCGGTCTCGGTGGTCGGCGAGGTGACGGTGGACCCCAGCGGCGCGGGGAACTACACGACCATCGGCGAGGCCGTGGCGGCGGCGCCAAGCAACCTTGGCGGGAGCACCGGCTACTTCGTCATCCGCGTGCCCGCGGGCGTGTACGAGGAGAATGTGGTGGTGCCCAAGAACAAGAAGTACGCCATGATGATTGGCGACGGCATCGGCCAGTCGGTGGTCACCGGCAACCGGAGCGTCGTCGACGGCTGGACGACCTTCAACTCCGCAACGTTCGGTGAGCGTCCACTTTTGTTAGTTGATGATTTGCTAGTGTCTTCATTTGGTTTGGCGCGTCGGTCGGTGACTCGGTGCCAAGATAACTATTTTAGTATTTTCGTATCATAGTCTCTTGAAAGCGAATATATTGACTCTTCAGTTGAGGTTTACCTTACGCCTCGGAATTTCGGAATGCATGCAGCTGTTCTTGGGACAGGGTTCGTCGCGGTGAACATGACGTTCCGGAACACGGCCGGTCCGGCGAAGCACCAGGCGGTGGCGCTCCGTTCCGGCGCGGACCTGTCGACGTTCTACCAGTGCAGCTTCGAGGCGTACCAGGACACGCTGTACACGCACTCCCTCCGCCAGTTCTACCGCGGCTGCGACATCTACGGCACCGTGGACTACGTGTTCGGCAACGCGGCCGTGGTGTTCCAGGACTGCAACCTCTACTCCCGGCTGCCGATGCAGGGGCAGAGCAACACGGTGACGGCACAGGGGCGCACGGACCCGAACCAGAACACGGGCACCACGCTCCAGGGCTGCACGTTCGCCGCCGCGCCCGACCTCGCCGCCAACGCGGCGTTCCCCGTGACCACCTACCTGGGCCGGCCGTGGAAGCTCTACTCCCGCACGGTGATCATGCAGTCGGAGGTGGACGCGCTGGTGGACCCCACCGGGTGGATGCCGTGGGACGGCGACTACGCGCTCAGCACGCTCTTCTACGCCGAGTACAACAACTCCGGCCCGGGGGCGGACACCAGCAGGAGGGTGGCCTGGCCGGGCTTCCACGTGCTCAACGGCACCGCGGACGCCGCCAACTTCACCGTCGGCAACATGGTGCTCGGGGACTTCTGGCTGCCCCAAACCGGCGTGCCGTTCACCAGCGGACTCATCAACTGATGATGCACAGGCTCGCGCTAGCTAATTATTGGGCAAGTCGGTGCAAAAGTCGGTCTTAGTGGATATGTTATACTGAGTATTGTATTCGTTGCAAGAGGTAGATACGTAGGTATACAGGAAATTTAAGGTGCGTGTATAATTAACATATAACAGAATAATAAGTGTGCTGCAACAACGTAACACATGCATGATCCATAGTCATGTTTAGGGTCGCATGCTGTACCAGATCCTGATTGAATTTACACGAGCCGATGCCGAGCTGAATGGGTTAGCCATTGCGCACCCTTCCATCAAATTTGTGCGTGGCAGGCTGGCAGCTGTCGCAGAGGCGGGAAACAATCCCTTTTTGTGCGTGGCAGGCTGGCAGATAACTGCCATGACACCGTCACGGCTTAACGAGACCCGAACACTGTTTAAGTATCCTTTCGAGGGTTTAGAGATCGAAATGACACAGCGATACAAGTTTAGGATCGGTAGTAGACTTTACTCTTAAATTTATTTGTCCATAGCATGCTGGTCCTTTTTTTTATAAAAAAAAATGATTTTAGTTTTGCGTCGATTAGTATTCCTTACATTGAAAAGCTGAATCTCACCTGAGTGATCGATTCAGAGGACATGATTTTGTATATCTCAAATTTATGTTAAGATTTGTGCTTTTACGGTGGTGATGAGTATGTATATATACTATATAAAGCAAAATCCAAGTGTTTTATGTACTGATTGGATCTATTTGCAGCTAATAGTTAGCTAAGTAATACTAGTTTATAGATAAAATTATCTAGCTAGCTATAAATTATCTGCAACTTGGGCCATGTCATTTTGGATCGTGGCATTGTCCAAAGCACATCACAACATGAAATTTTTTTAGTCGTGTTACTACACGGCACGAACATGAGGGTCAAGTCGTGACTAAGATGTCAGCACGTTGGACGGCACGGCAAGACATGTAAATGACACGTAAACACATCAACAAGCCACAATACAATTTTCTAGTATTTATGATTTGATATAGTGAAAAAACGAGTATTGCCCTTGAGTGAGCTCTCTCTCTCTCACGCGCGCTCGCTCAAGACACTCAAAAGAGGCTTCACTACATATCTCAAGGAGAACAAAGGCCAGTACAAACAACGGACAAAAGGCACAAAACGACCCTTAGAAAAACGAGAGTATATCAATGACCAGATCGGTCGTCTTCTTCCTTCGAGCGTCTTTAAACTCTTCATGTAGCATCTATGTATATGTTCCCCCCAAATCTCATCTGCGTGATCTCAGGGGAGACAAAGTTGACATGAAGCGCCTACCTAAGAGGGCGGCACCACCCTGGTTCACAAAAGGCAAGATCAGCATAACCATGCCTTACATCTCCCCCACCCCCTCTCTCTCCCCAAATTGAAGCCTCTGCATGTCTTTTATAAACTGCAAATACCCCATTTCCAGGAGAGGGCAACACACATCTGCCTTGATTGTGGATACATATACTTCCTACCCAAGCCTTTTGAAGAACAGTAAGCAATGCATAGGTCTCTCTAAATCAATTACAAAATTAATGTTTATTTTATCTGTTTATATCTAATTTAGTACTGTATTTTTGTTTTCGTCTGCTGAATTTTAACCATTTTCTGTATGGTTGCAGCCTGATGACTATGGTTTGACCACAATGCAATTCGCCAAAGAAGCGATTTGCAAGGTAAGATGCTGCCACTGGGAAGGCCATCGACGGTGCGCTGCCTCCTGTTGCGGTGATCATAAGTTTGGTAATCGGCAGCATCGGAGTAGGGGCTCTGCTTGTGTATGGCCTGCGATAGGCTGTTCATTCTCCATAACCAATTTTTGCTGTGCATGATCTTCTCACAAAACATTCTGAGTGATATATAGCAAAGAGAAAATAAATATACAATATTTGAGGCTAATGGCTTGTCTAAGTTTCATGCACTGTTAGTTATACAGTTACTCAATTTTATTACCGAAAGGCAGCATGCTTTTCAAAAATGCTTCCATTGTCAATGCTGCTCTCATCAGCATAGAGATTTTGTCGCAAAAAGTTTCTACCACTCAGGTTCCAATCCAAACTTCAAAGATCATGCACAGATTCTAGATTCATACAGAAGCATCTTTTTTTTATGACTTGTAGAAACCGATGTGCTATAATACACTGCACTTTGTGGTCAATCTGAACAAATTGTAACTTTTGCTTGTGACCGCTAACATAACTACTCCCACTATGGGTTGAGAGTTCTTGTGGTTGGAGTGATCCACGGTCCAGCTCATGATATCAGCCATGATTTTCAGCTTACTCAACCAGCTTTTAAGTCTTAATGGAGTCAATAAAAAGAATATTTTCTTCATTAAACCCTAGTTTAATTAGTTTGTGACTGTGACTTAAGCCTGAGAATGACTGACCTTTACCTGCGAGCCCTTGTCTTCAGTGTCATCTTTCTCTGGGATCAGCTCATCTACCAGATCAAAGTTAGCTCCTGCCCTAACCACACTCCAGACAGATATACATCAGCATTACACATTGCAAAAGCAGGTGGTAAAAATTAGTTGGAGCAAGATGAGCATGAATCCATATATATACCAGGAACTTGTTAGGCTTGCATTGTCATTTGCAACAAGTAGTCTGTTGTTACTTATAGAACAGCCAAAAAGAAAAGAAGAAAAAATATCTTCAGGTATGTATCTCAGATTCTCAGTAGACCTGTAGAGGTGACCATGAGTTACTGGGGAAGCCCAGGTGGACCACCGTCGTGGCGGCGAGCCGGGGGCCGTCGCTGGTGGTGCCACTGCTCATCATGGTGGCGCTGGGATGGGTCATCTGACAAGAGACGACAAGAGACCCTGATGGGGTGGTACGAGCAAGTGACAGAGGTGCACGAGACCGTGACAGACAATGTCTTGCTCCTGGTTCTTGGTGCCGGGCTCCTACTGCTCGCCTTGGCCATGGCCGGCAACCGAAGCCAGGTGGCGCTGGTGGTGGTCATGTTCCTGATCCAGAACATCGTGCTCACCGCTCTCCTGCTGCTGGCGGTGGCCTACTTCGCCGGCATATACTACTACCGGGCAGACAGAGGGTACGGGTACGATGGTGGTTTCGGCGGCAAGTGGGGCGCCGGGGCACCCAAGCTGGGATTTTACATGCTGCTGCTGCTGTGTGCCATGTTTTCAAACGGCAGTGGCAGCTGGTGGATCCCAGGTGTGCTGCTGGTTGTGTGCGTGCTCTGCCTCAATCTCTTCTCCAGCGGGAAAGTCTGGGGATATGAATACTTGTGAGTTCTGAGTATGCTTTTTCCAGGGCAGTCTTGTTTCTTGGGGTGTTGTGTGGGTGGGTGGGTGGGGGATGCTGTTTATTAATATAGGGGAAGCAAATAGTCAAACTTTTAGGGAATTGGTATTACGACACAAAGTTAAACACTATCCATGCTAGGAATAGTATTAAGCAATGGCATTTAAATTGGGTTTGTGCAAACCAAGAACTTCATTCACGCTACAAACTTACAAAGGGAACTGGAAAAAGAGAACAAAAGTAGCTTTGTGATTACATACTAACCATTATTCACATCTCCAACAGTGGCTTGCTTGTAGAGTCCGTAGAGGATCAGCTTGTTCTCATTGCTCTTGTTGTCAGGCAGGGTCTTCGCCTTGTCAGCATACTCCTCAAATTCCTCCTGCAACAGAGATACAGCTCATAGGTCATGTTCCGTGGGGCCACAATTGGAATACTAGGCTAAATTATTTTACAAGGTAAATCTTTCATGTAAATTGTTTTAAGAAATCCAGTCTTTGAACCACACACTTTGCCACTCTATTTCTTTGTATAATTATTATATAGAAAACCGAGAGATCGCAAAATACTTAAAACAAACAGGGAATTTCCCATCTTACATCCAAAGGCATGATGAACACAATAGTAACTGCCGCTCAGGAGTCAAGGCAGCGCAAAAGCATTGGATCCCCTCTTAAGCATGAACATAAAGGGCACAACATCTAAGATTCCAAGTGCTGCAAAGAGCCAACAGTCTGAATCCACCAGATCATGGCTACACATACAAATCTAGATGGAAATTAAGACCATGCAGCACCGGATTCAAAGTCTAGATCGTTTCTCTGGACAATCTAACAAAGCTCATGGAGATCCAGAACCAATCTAAACGGAACTGGAGATCCAGAACCAAATGGAAAGAAAGAACAAATCTTGGAGATGATCAGATGAGTAAAGATTTAATCTTTAACAAGCGAGTAACAGATAATGGTGATTTAGGGAGTGATGAGCCGTGTACCTGCAGACCCATGGCTTGGTTTTAGGATTGTTTTCCTTTGGCCAGGTATTTTCTTCTCGGTTTTAAAGATGACCAGTGACTAGATCAGATCCGCTTATATAGAGCGGTACTGGAATTACTATGTAGTGAGAACCTCCCTGTTTCCAAAGTTAATTATGGAAGACCCTCCATTGGGCAAAGTTTCGCGAGACGCCCTGGGAATAATTCCTAGATTTTTAAAAGAAAAGGTTAGTACTAAGTTAGGAAAAGAATGCAAATTGTTAGTGTTACTGATTCAGGTTTGTTCACTGATGAGCCATTTTAAAGATATTGATACATTTTCCTTATTCAGAAAAGGTCTATGAGAAAAGGAGGAAGCATTAGTAATTCAACTATGTTGTGTGCATCAGTTAGCAGCTAACTGCTTGGCATGGAAGCACTGAAGGACAGCGCCTAACCTCCAACTGATACTCATAAATGGAAGAATAACAAACAGCCAAACAGGCCATTGACATGAAAGGTAGGCAAGCAACCCATGCAACACAGCATTCATCACGAGCAGACCAGCAGCCAGAAGCTTCTAACCAACAGTTCATCAATCATTCTATCCATTGCAACAGGGATTTGTGCATAAATTTCTGCTCCATTTGCGTGTTGAGCGTTTCAACTCAAAACAAATACAAATAACTAGCGTAAAGTTGTTATTCTCTATGACTATGGGGCAGATGCACATGCACCATCGCTGGCGCAGCAAGGATTTAGTGTCAGGGGTAGTCCATCTTAGATCTAAAGCTAAATTATAGAGTGGTCCATATGCAATTTCATAATGTTAGATAGCACATCTACTATAGTTTAATCTTTAACCAAATTTCAGAGTGGTCCATGGACCACAGTGCCACCTAGCTAACTCCGCCTGCTTGCACAAAGCTAGCTAGTTCTGTTATTTACCCATGGTTCATGGCCATCCGATCTGGTTGAGTACATTGCAAAAAAAAGATGAGATGCTCAGCATCTGCCAGCAGAAGCAGATGGACAAGCTTGGGATATGCTCGAATGGAACCAGCCAATGGCTGTGAAATATGATGCTGCTAGGCGGTGGCACAGTGGCAGTGGGCATAGGATCTCAACACTAGCTGCTGATTACTTTAAAATACCAAATTAGATACCATACCGCCAGCATCACCATACTAAAGTTGTGACCAAATTAAGCATGGAGTTCAATCATCTAGCAGCGACAACAGATTCCAATTGACAATGCATACTCTCATATGCATCAAGCATCATCCTACAGCAAACATCCTTTTCTGTCCCACAAGAATTACCACTCTCACAGACGCAACATGTTATCCACAAGTTCTCTAATGATTTTTGCATGGCAAAATCCAGCAGTGGTTTTCCTCGTAGCCCTTGGACTCCTTGAAAGCAACAACACACATAGAGCATTAGATTTTGAACTGTTCAATCAGTCTGATAAGGCTATATGTCTCAGCGTCAGGCATTGCCCCTCTCAAAATCATTGTCCTCAACAAATCCGGCTCATAAAGTTTTGCCCTCACATAAGCTTTCAGGAGGGTGTTACACACAAAGGAATTCCGAGAATATTTTGATTCATTCAGTTCACTGTATAGTTTCTTTGCATTTTCCATGTCTCCGATTTCTGCAAAGTTCTCAAGCAACATATGTGTGGTCTCCAACCACGGTGTTGAACTCCTCACCTTTTTAGTGATGACCTCCTTCTTTCCCATATCTATTGTGTTCAAAGCTTCTTTAACAAGACCCGATTTCAAGCAACCCAATGCTAAGTGGCGATAAGTAATAGCATTAGGCTGGCATCCATTTGCTCTCATTTCCTTGAATACAGATGATGCTTTATCCACAACACCATGCCTGCAATAAACTGATAACATGGAATTGAACTGTTCTGTAAGGGTTAAATTCTTTGTTGATTTTATCTGAGACCATATCTTTTCTGCCTGGTCAATGGAGCCAACCTTTCCAAATGCTTCTATTGCTAGTGTGAAGCTTTTGGATCGAATATGAGGGAGGTCTTGCATGACCTCCCATGTCCTCTTTAGCTCCTTTTCCTTCCCAAGGTATCCATACAAGATAAGAAGAATTTCCGGCGTGGACCAGTTAGTACCTGTCTGGCAAACAGTATATAGCCATGCAACAGCATGTGCAATAGCTAGAATGCCATAAGTGGTCTCATTGGGCTCAATCTTTGCTCTTTTCATATCATTGAACACCCTGGCTACCCCATCAATGTTGTGCTCATTGGCTTGTATTTTCAACAGGATGTTGTAGGTTGACGTGTGAGGGATCACACGATCAGCTTTCATCTGATAAAGGATCTTGGATATAGTTTTCCTACGGCCGGGTGATGAATGAAGGATGATCAGGCGGTTGTAAATATAAGGCGAGATCGGCAGGGACAATTCTCTCATCTTCCTCATGTAAGCGTATGAATGCTCAATGAGACCCAGATCTAACGCAGCCATGACAAGGTTATTGTAGAGGAGCTCTTTCTGGTGTTCCTGGGGCACACGAAGGAAGAGGCTTTCGGCTTCAGAAATGCCATGGACTTTAGCTGTGAACTCCAGCAGATATGAGTAATCAAGCTCACTCAGCTTGTAGGGCCTCTCTCTCACGATCCATTCGATGACCTGTGGTAAGGAAAAGAAAAAACTGTCACATCCTAAGCAAATACTTGAAGGTAGGGAGATCTTATGTCTAATTTAGTTACCACTACTTGTACATTATCCAAGCACAAATAAAGAGAAGCTAGTTCCACGGGGATGGAAGGGAACTAGTACCATTCAAATAAGCTTTTCACGGCATTTGTGAACAAGTACAGAAATCAGCAGAACACAAGAGCACTAACAGAAGGGAGCGCAAAGAAACCTGGAAATTTCATGTCACTGCTCAGCTCAACTCGAGTCAATCACCAAGGAAAGCTCTCATGTGAGGAGGCGGAGGGGATCTAACTAAGATGGGGCAGGGAATGCGATGACCGGGCAGAGGCGAAGTGGGGCAAAAGGGGCACCTGCAGGGCGGTGCGGTGTTGTTGGGTTCATTCAGTAAGTTCAGTCCAGATTCAGAGTTTCAGTAGCTAGCGTTTAACATTCTTGGCCAATAAACTGAACCCGATTGGGTGCGTCGTGTAAGCCAGAATCGCGCTCGTTCGCGGTGCGGCACGTAGTTGTCGTGTCCTTAGTTTTCGCTGAGTCTAGTTGAAGCCTTGCGCCCCGTTCGTTTGGTCGTGGGATGGCGCGACCTTGTAGGTAGGAGTGGCGTGCATGGCGCCGAGTCGAGTGGCCACGAGCTGCTCACAGTTTGTATATATTTTCATCAGTAGAGTCAGAAAAACGTCGGTTAGTTGCGGCACCAAATTTTGTGTGTTTTGTGTTCTCAGCTTCCACTGTGTTCGTGTGAGTTTCCACCTCGGGTTCCATCGATCTTGGGTCATCATCCTCGTCTCCGACGGCGGGCGCCGGCGAGCAGGACACGTCAATTGGCATCAGAGCGAGGTTCCGCCGGTGGACACTCGACCGCACGATCGCTGCTGCTCTTGGTATGGATCGACGGAGGAACCGTTCCTCCTCGCCGCGACGGGGTTCCGGCGGGGGCGGTTCGAGCAACGGCGGCACGAGCGAACGCGGCTTGGTGATTCACCGGACCATGCATGAGGAGGGCGGGAAACACAAGTACCCCCTCCTCACCAAGTCCAACTACTACTCATGGGCGGCGCTCATGAAACTGAAGCTCCAGGCGCAGAGCTTGTGGGAGACGGTGCAAGTCGGCGCCATCGACTACATCGACGATCGGAACGCCTTGGAGGCCATCGCTCTGGGCGTTCCCGAGGAGATGCATGGAAGCATCGCCAGGAAGGCCACTGCCAAGGAGGCGTGGGACTCCCTGAAGAAGATGCATCTCGGGGTGGATCGTGTGCGCCAGGCGAAGCCGAATACACTGCGTCGGGAGTTCGACGCGCCGCGCTTCAAGGACGGGGAGTCG